TACAGGAACGAATAGAGTTTGCAAGAAACCTCTCAGATCCTCTGACAGAAGGGGTCTTCTGAGTTCCCATCCATCAAATGTGTGTTTTGGGGGCTGGGGTGCTGGAATACAAGGCATTAGACTAGATTATTTTAGTTTTAAAATCCTAAAATTGTTATAAAACCAAGGCCCAGAGACAGTTCAGTGATGCTCTCCAGGTCACACTGGTGGTGAAACCAGCGGGACTACCACTGGCCCTGGGCTCCTTCTCCTTGACCAGGACTTGAGGGTAGCGAGCTGGCCTCCACGCCCAGAAGCCTACTTTGTTTGCTACCTCTGCTCTCCATGGCACTGGTAGAGAATTCATGAACCTTCCAGGTCAGGAAGGAAATAAGATTCCTCTTATCACATTCAAATGCCCGGGAATGACTCACATGCCACTTCAGTCATGGGGTGAGGCTGGGAAGATCTAGAGGTTTGCCTATGGGGGAGGAGCTAGGCGGGGCCCAGAATTGTCCCCAAGGGCACTAACTCAGTGCCTCTGCGCAGTGGACGTGACCCTAGATCCAGCCTCGGCGCACCCCAGCCTGGAGGTCTCCCAGGATGGCAAGAGCGTGTCCTCTCGTGGGTGGGCATCAGTTTCAGCAGTGCCCAGCGACCCACAGCAGTTTACCGAGCAGAAGTGCGTGCTGAGCCGCGAGCGCTTCCTGGCGGGCCGCCACTACTGGGAGGTGGATGTGGGCCGGCGCAGCCGCTGGTTCCTGGGCGCCTGCCTGGCGGCGGTGGTGCGCACAGGGCAGGCGCGCTTGAGCCCGGCCGCCGGCTATTGGGTGATGGGGCTGTGGAACAGCTGTGAGTATTTCGTCCTGGAGCCGCGGCGCGTGGCGCTCACCCTACGCGTGCCGCCCCGGCGCGTGGGCATCTTCCTGGACTACGAGGCCGGGAAGCTGGCCTTCTTCAACGTATCCGACGGTTCCCACATCTTCACCTTCACCGACACCTTCTTGGGGCCGCTCTGTGCGTACTTCAGGCCCAGAGCCCCCGATGTCAGCGAACACACAGATCCGCTCACCCTCTGCTCATTGCCGTCGGGTTAGAGGAACATGCGTCCTTGAAGAGAACGACGGTGTCACCTGGGAACAGCCCTATGAGCCTCAGACTCCGCCTTGGGTCTGTGGTAAGGCACTCTTGTGGCCGCAGGGCTGGTCTAGGGTGGAGAAAGCACCTCCAAAGTGTCAGCAAAGACCACAGTCTCAGCACAGCAGAAGGAGGACAGAGAAAGGGACTTGGCCTGTGTAGATGTGTGTGTACATGTATGGATATGATTTTCTTTAAAAAAATAAAATAAGAGGCAGTTTCAAGCTCGTCTGAGTGTATGATAGGATTGAGCAAATGAGTAAAAATACATAGATGTTGCCAAGAGCCAGGGTGTCCACTGCAGAAGAGGGGAAAAACCAATAGGGAAATTTTTTTGAAGGGAGAAACATGTTCAAATTAAAGTTATCAGTTAATTTGTGTATTACATATATTTTTGTGTAAATTTTCTAGTTCTAAAAAGATCTAAAAGTACTGTCGTCTCAGAAGCAATGAGTTCATCTATGGCTCATAACCCAGTTTTAGATGACAATCCCCACTAACGTGAACTTGGGAAACAGCTGGTTCCAGGGCTGGAATAGAACTAGTGCAAGGTGAATCTGGACCACCCTCTGCTACAAAGTACGAACACACTCAAAACCTGATGGGGACTCAGCAAAAGGTCATAGGAGCTAGATCGAAGTGGCTCCACTGACCAACTGTGGGACAATTTGAACATCAAAGTGAATAATGACAAGAATCGCTTAACAAGTAGTTGAGTAAATAAGATATTTTACTAAGTATGATGAGAGGTTTACAAAAAAAGTACAGGAAGGAGAGAGTAAAACCATGTGAACTCATAGTTTTTACTATGTGTAGATAGATGGAACACACACACATGATGGATGGTTGGATAGATAGATGAATGTCTGTACATGCGTACATGTAGCTCCATCTGCTTTGACAATTAACACTCCATTACCAATGAGCACACCTAGCACCCAGAACTTGATTTTTCATACTATTTTCTACTAATGGGAACCAACACTCCTTGGAGAAAAAATAGACCACGAGGCTAAGGCAGGGAATACACAAGACAGATATGATATTGTGATGCATAAATATATATATATTTGGCCTTTGACCTAGATTCTGGCACAGAGATCCTAAATCTCTGGAGTTTCCTAAGTGGTGAGAGTAACAAGGGTGTCTTTTGATATTCATAACAAGCCCCTTTCAACACACCTGAGTTCACGATTATTGGAAGACTTTTGGAAAGCCCCTGATGTTGGGGACTGGTTGTCTGGGAAATCAGTTAGTCATCAGAGTTGTAACTTAGCCCCACCCCCCATTTCAACCTCAGGAAGGGGCTGGAGATTGAGCTCTGTCACCAGAGGCCAATGATTTAATCAATCATGTAAATGTAATAAAGCCTCCATAAATATCCAAAAAGACTATTTTCTAGAGTTTCTAGGTTGGCAAACAGTTGCAGATGCAGGGACACTGGCACCCAGAGAGAGCATGAAGGCTCTGTGTCCCTTCTCACACACCTTGCCCTATGTATATTTTCTATCTGGCTACTTCTGAGTTATATACCTTTATAGTAAAGTGGTAAACTAGTAGGTAAACCATTTGTCCTGAGTTCTGTGAGCTGCTCTAGTAAATTAATCAAACCCAAGTAGGATGTTGTGGCAGGTTGGCAAGAAGAACAGGTAAACAACCTGGACTTGGAACTGGTGTGTGAAGTAGGGAGGAAGTTTTGTAGGACTGAGCCCTTAACCTGTGGGATCTGACACTATCTCCAGGTAAATAGGGTCAGAATTAAGTTAATAGCTTGGTGGTGTTAAAACACACACACACACACACACACACACACACACACACACACACACACACACTGGAATGGATCTGAAACACCTTGCACCAGATAGTAAGGAAGCGCTCAAAGAATGATGGGGAGATGTCAATTGGTCATAAAAGTCAGTTTAAAGGGACTCCCATTGGCAAATATGAACATCAAACTAATTAATGGCAGTTATAGATTAAAATAAGAATCTAAGAGCATATATATTTACATTGACATATATAAATAAATAGATGAATAAGTAAATGGGATAGAAGAGAAAGCTATACCCTACAATTGAAGTCTCAAAGTATCTCCCCCACAAAATACTAATTATTTAACAATTTAAAAGTGCAAAACACTATCAACCAACTTTATAGTGGAGGAGCCTGGCAGGCACCATCTTAACCAAGTGACAAAAGTTAACATTACCAGATATGACATAAATCTACACCACATGCCTCCTGATGCAGTGAAAAGAACACAGCAGCATCAGTTTTGAAGTATTCCTGCCCTTAAAATTCATAAATCATGAGGAAATATCAGGCAAGCTGGCTGATACTCTAAAAATGTCAAGGTCATGAAAACAAGACAAGACTAAAGAATTATTTCAGACCAAAGGACACTAAAGCGACATGACATATCAACACAACAGGTGACCCTGAATGGGATCCTGGGCCTATAAAAGACATTATTATTTGGAGAAAAAGACAATTGAAAAATTGCTCTGGATCAGATAGCAATATTGGATAAATGTTAATTTTCTGATTTTGATATCAGAGAATGTCCTTATTTTAAGAAAATACACACTTAAGTATTAAGAGATAATGAGATATAATGTTTGTCCCTTATTCTCAAATGGTTCATTCAAAAATATAGTAATATAAAGAGAAAATGATAAAGGAATGCAGTCGTGTCTGATAAATGTTTAATAACTAGCTTTCTGGAAAAACATCTATAGCATTTGCTGATTTTTATGTTGTAAATACTCCCACGGTGGCCAGTTTCAAGCTGCAGATGTGACATCACCAATAGAGTTGGGAAGAGATATGCAAGATGGACTGGTTCTCGTGAAACCCCAGCTCCAGTGCATGACTGATTTTACACAATTCTGTATAGGGCATTTGGACGGTTATTGTAGTTTGTTTCTCTAACAAGTCAAATATGTACATGTTTGAGCTTAAAAAAATATGTTCGGCCACCTATTATGATAAAACTATAGCCTTATAAACATATCATCTAAAATGTTAGAAAAGGGCAGATTCTGGGAAACATGGCAGAGTGAGAGATGTCCTCAGATCTCTCACCTTGAAACAACAATAAGCTGAACATCTAAAACTGAATGAAAAACACCCAAACTATACTCCAGCACATATTAGCATGGGATCTGCGCATAAGAACTACCACAGGTCAGAACCCCAGGTGTCGAGCGATGGACTGGGAGAAATAAAGAAGCTGCCTCTCACAGCCATGCGAACTCCTTGAAGGAGGATGGGGACAAGTGAAGGTGCGGCAACTTCCCTGAACAACCCTGCCTGGAAGTGCCAGGACTTCTACATAGCCGGCAGCAGGGCCCAGTCATCAGGACAGAAAGCGGAGAAGAGGATGTGACCACAGAGAAACAAACAGTTGATTTTTACCAGCCCCAGTTGCAAAACCAAGGCTGAGCTGCAGCTCCCAACACCCAACCCAGAGGGCCCCGCCCCCCATACTCTCAGAGACCAATCACCGTGGAGCCCCAGGGGAATCTGAGCAAACACTGCCAAGACTGATGCTACCCGTCACAGCCTCTGGAGCTCTGCAGGAGGATGGGGAGGAGAGAAGGTGCTGCGACTTCCCTGAAAAACACTGCCTGGAAGTGCTAGGATATCTATGCAGCTGGCAACAGGGCCCAGTCATCAGAACAGAAAGCAGAGACAGTTGATTTTTACCGGCAGTGGTTGCAGTAACCGGGCTGAGACGCAGCCCCCAATCACCCACCTAAAAGGCCCCTCCCGCAACCCTCTGAGACCAATCACCGCAGAGCCCCAGAGGAATCTGAGCAAGCACTGACAGGGGTTGAAACTGAGAGTAGCGAGTGTGACTAAATTTCTACAAGAAAATAAATTTTTAAAAAACCCCGTTATTTAGGCTTTATATAAAGCAGGGATCCAAGAGGCTTAGATACCACCTACTGGACACCAAAAGAAAAGTGGCTTCTTTGTAGCAAGCTAAAGAGAAACCTTTAAATAATAAACCTTCTTTCTGGAAAAACAGCAGAATACACTTCCATTAATGCCCAGGTGGAGAAATAGCCCATTAAACACCATGAACACCAAGGTGACAAGGCATCTCAGAAAGAAAGAGAAAAATCTCCAGAAAATAAGCTTACAGACATAGAAATATGTGACTTAAATGACAGAGAATTCAGGATGATACTGCTGAAAAAACTCAATGAGTTCTGAAACAAGTCATATCAACAATTTTGGGAATTGAAAAAACAACTAGATGAGCAGAGCAAGGAGA